CCAAGTTACTCACCTAACGCAGAGCCTGTGGCCTCTTAGAAGCGGTGGCAGCACCACGACAAGGCTGAGGTACACGATGTGACAGTGACAGCCATTCCAGCTTCTACTTCCTTTTCCAGCGCTTCTTCCAGTGTTTGATACACACTTCGCTCCTCTGCAAGAAATTCCACCTCCTGTTTCCAAGATGGTCTTTTCATGCACACCATGTCCTTGATTGTGCTGCTGCCAGTTCCAGCCAAACTCAAGGACTCTGGCCCAGCCCCTCTGGAGAGTCTGGAGCGGGTCCTGTATTGAAAGACAGCAGTGGTCAGAAGCATCTGCTCCTAATGACTGGTTCTGCCTAAGTGTGTGAAGAGGCCTCCTACACTTGAAATGAGCTTTTCTTCGAAGAACAGCCATATGTTGCCCTGGCTGGGGAATGTTTGGTTTTACAAACACTCTTAGCAGCTGCCTTCATACAACACAACCCTTGGGTGACTGTCAGTTTGCACAAGGAGCCATTTCCTCCCTTGGCTTGTCAAAACAGATCACGTGCTATAGATCCCAGCCCGAGACAGCCTAGCCCAGCCCTGGAAGTGTGAGAGCACATCGGGCTCCATCTGCAGTGGTTTCAGCAGCATCTGTGCCTGCATCGCAGTCAAAAAGCCACTAAGCTGCTCCGTCAGCCTTGCAGGCATGTTGTATGCATTGGCATTTGCACGCCCAGCTTCGAACTGGCACTTTGTTTAGAAAAACGGGGGGTTGCTGATTTGCTTGAGTTGCCTTAGTTGCAATCCCTTAGAACAGGGGCTTGGTTGTAACTCCCCAGCAGGGATCCTGCACACGGCGGATCTTTGAAAGGGAAACCTGTTCTGCAACCGGTGCTGTGGGTAGCCGATGGGCAATCAGCCATGGCTCCAGTCCACGCTCCCTATTGTAGGCAGTGTGGTGGATTTAGGGAGGGTGGAGGAATTACTATTGGCACCATCTCCCATAGCCATCTTGGAAGCCCTTCATAACTCCTGGTGAAGTTGGCATGGCTCAGACTGTTGTTTTCCCCAGGTGTGCTGGGTGGCGGCAGGCTCTGGCGTATCTTGGGAGCACAGAGCCATGGGGTGCAACCACGAGCTCTGTCAGCGTGTGTTTTGCTTCTCGCCATGCCCCTGCAGTCCCCAGGGCAATAGCAGGAACTGGAAGGCAGTGACATTGGCATTACAAGAAGAAAGCTCTTTGCCAGCCCCGCTCCTCTGGCTGAAAGGGCATAGCTTCTGCTGCCCAGCAAAGCGAGGAGTCCTTCACTTAGGCTTGTTTCCCTCTTCACTTCTGCTTTCCATTGTCTTTGTTGCCCCACACCGCTGCCGAGGCCTTTCTACAATGGGAAAAAAAATGCAAGTATGGCTGCATACCCGGTGGAGGGGGGGTCGCAGCAGCATGGGACTCTGGGGCTGGTGAAGCAAGGGCTCAGATGTGTGGGCATCCCTGGGCTGATATAGAAAGGATCTGCAAGGGCTGGAAGGCAGGACCTGGGTGTTAAATTTTCGCTGAGAAATAAGGCCTGGTAAGCCAGGGCCCAGCCCTCTGCACTACTGCCAGGGCTACTGGCCACAGGGGTAGGGGCTGACCCCAGGCAGGAGTGGGGTCTGCAAACACAGCACTGGAAGCCAGGGCCCCATTTTCTGCTCGTAGCAACCCCAAACTCCCTAAGCTGAAGATCCTTCGGGCATTCCCTTTTCCTATGCTTTCTTGAGATCGCAGCGGTCTGGGAATCCCGTGTTCTTCCTGTGCAAAGGTGTTCTGCTGTTCTGGAAGCAGGTCAGTAACTTCAAGTTTCTCTAAAGAAAACCCTTGGGGCAGGTATTTTGGACATATTTTTTTTCAGTCCACCTACTGTAACCCATGCTGTTCCTCTCCTGGACTGTGGACCATGTGCTGTGGTCTTGCCTGAAAGGGGCACATGGGGGAATGTGGGGGAGGAAGAGGATGCCCATCCCTACACAACTCATGCACCCTGCTTGGTTCATGGAGCAGCACGTTTTCTTTTCTGTTGTAAGAAGATCTAAAAGGTTTCTCTGGGGAAAGGAGAGCCGACAACAGGGCATAGCAGAGGCACTAGCTACTCACTGTGGTGCTAGATTGGTACTGTGCTGAAGCAAAGAATTTCATTTGCTTTGATCACAGCTGGGGCGGAGATTACATCTCTGGCCAGCCAAAGATCGGGACTTGCTTTTTAAGTTGATATCCCAAACAGCTTCCAGTCTGTGGTCTATGCTGAGTCATGCAAACCTACGGCCCAGACAAGTCTCTGTCCTTGCTTAGCATTGCCACTGAAACCCACAGCACACACTGCCCAGCCCAGCTGATGTTCCGCAACCTGCAAGACGAGTTGAGCTAACTCACTTGTGCTCATCTGGGGTCACTAGGAGCCACCCTGCAGCTTCAGCTGCCTGGTACAAGGTGGAAGACAGTGATTAAAGCAGCAGATGAGACTGGTAGGAATGTCCTGCGGGATCAGCAGTGGTCTGCAGATGGTGACGTTGGTGTAGGAGACAGGAGCCCCAAAGTAGCGCACCCAGAGATGCCACTTCTCAAAATGACTGGGGTGGGGGTGAAATGGATGCTGGGTGCAGGGAAGGGAAGTGAAGCTGAATTTAAATAGCCCCCCAGTGACTCAAAGCGGGTACCTATGGCACCCTTGTTCTCTTGTGTCTGTTTTGAAGGGGAATTCAGGAATCTGGTCTCTACATCCATCCTGTGATGATCAGCTGTGCAATAGAACAAGTGCCTTGGTTTAAAGCTGGATTCTTCCTTGGATCATGCATATTGCTCTGCCATGATGGAGGCTTCTAGGCTGCTCTCTGGTACTTGTGATGCTTCTTGTCAGGCACCTATATAGCCTTACGGGGGTTTTTAATGTGTTTGTACCGCTGGGACGTGGTGGGTGGGGTGGCAGGAAAGTGAGACTAATGCATTTTCCTCCCCTGTTAGACTCCGCCAGTTTCAGTTACAAAAGCTCATAGCTGTTTCTCCCGCAATTCATCTGGCTCCAAGGAATCAAGGGGAGAACAAGATTTATTTATTATTCCAGAGCAAATCTTTGTCCAGCACTGGGAGAGGGTGGGGAGTTAAAATCAGAAGGCTTATTTCCAGGATGATTTTGTGGGTCTTTCCCTCCTCCTTTTTCCATCAATAAGGTGTGAAGATTGGAGTGTGGCACTGAAATGAGCTCCCAGTACAGTGTCTCCCTGGTGCACAGAGGTTTGGGAGCCTGTCATGGTTTAACCTCAGCCAGCAACTAGGCACCACGCAGCTGCTCACTCACTCCTCTCCTCCCAGTGGGATGGGGAGGAGAATTAAAAAAAAAAAAGTAAAACTTGTGGGTTGAGATAAGAATGATTTAATAACTAAAGTAAAATAAAATGCAATAGTAACAATAATAATAAAAAAATAATAATAATTGTAATGAAAAGGAATATATGAAATAAAATTTAAAAAAAAACAAGAAAAAGACAAGTGATGCACAATGTAATTGCTCACCACCCACTGACCAATGCTCAAGCAGTGATTCGCCCCTCGCAGCCAACTCCCCCCAGTTTATATACTGAGCATGACGTTCTATGGTATGGAATATCCCTTTGGCTAGTTTGGGTCAGCTGTCCTGGCCACACTCCCTCCCAGCTTCTTGAGCACCTGCTTGCTGGCAGAGCACGGGAAACTGAAAAGTCCTTAACTTGGGGTAAGCACGACTGAGCAACAACTAAAACATCAGCGTGCTATCAACATTATTCTCACGCTAAATCCAAAACACACCGTACCAGCTACTAAGAAGAAAACTAACTCTATCCCAGCTGAAACCAGGACAGAGCCATATAGCAGATATCTCACCAGGCCTGTCGACTGAAAGCCAGGGCAGCCCAAGGCCTGAGGTGTGACCTGGGTCCAACAGCACCCGTGCTGCCAGGGCTTGTGACCACATTCACTGGCTGGGTTAGAGCTGCCAGAAGTTAGAACCTCAAAATCATGAGTTTGAAAATAAAGACCTCAGGTGCTCTTCTGTTTGCTTGCCGTTTTCTCGGTCTGAGCTTGTACTGAACAATTTCAGGTCTTTTTTCTGCCACCTGGACCCAGTTCCCCGGTGTCACCACAAACGGTGAGAGAGGGCCCTTAACGGTGGCTTGGGAAAGCGTATGTGAAGGGGTTTCCACCTTGGTGAACTGCATATTATGTGCCAGGTCGTGTGGATGTTGTAACATCTCCTCTTCGGCTATTAGCTGGACTTACTGGTCCTCCAGGCTGCCCCTTCTGCCGGGGAAGGTGACCTGGCAGGACATAGTGGTACCCTGCTTCTTCCCAGGCTCGTGGAGGAATCAAACAGGCAGCACAGCTCAGCACTCAAAAGGCAGATTTCCTGGGGGACTGGGATGGGGTAAGTACTCAAAACTGAGTTTTATCTCCCAGACGGTTAACTCTTCTCTCCCCTTTTCAGGACAGCCTTGGAACTGGGCATAGTGTGAAATCTGGAGACAATTTTTGTTTTATTTTTTTATTAGTATTTGTACGTAGAGCTGCGTTGACATGTACTGGCAGACCTAGTGTGATTTAATGACAAGTTGCTGTAAATACCTAAGAACATCAGTGTAACACTAAGGATGGTCTGACAAGGGTTTTCTGGAAGCTGCACGACAGACAACTAGAAAGCACCAACCGCCTGGGTCTCCCACCTCCCAGCCCGCCGTTACCGTCCTCACACAGCCCAGGACCTGCCCTTGCCTGAGGAAACACGACCCGCACGCTGGCGGCCTATACTTGCGAGGTAAGATTCTGCTCGAGGATCCCGGGGGGGATATTTTTAAAAGGGGAATAAAAAAAAAAAACAAACCAACCCCCAAAAAGAGAAGGCTGGCGTACGCAGAGCACGCTCCCGCCTGAGGCGGTGCCGGCCCTTGGGCGGCCCCGCGCACGCGCCTTGGCCGTTGGCGCCTGAGGGCGGCGCCTCTTCCGCTCGCGCCACCACTCTTCCCGCCCCCGCCACCGCCCCTGAAGGAGTTTGCTCGGTTTTGTGGGTGAGGGTTGTGGAGCCGGTGCTTCCCAGGGGAGATGCAGCAGCGTAAGGTCGGCCTGAGCCCCGAGGTACTCGGGCTGGGGTCAGGAGGCTCCGTCCTGTCAGGGGGCAGGCAGAAGCAATGGCATGGAGAAGTCACTCAGGATCTCCGAAACCACCTTGTTCAGAAATTGTGAGTAGCTAATATCAAAACAATCCGAAACCACCTTGTTCATAAATTGTGAGTAGCTAGTAACAAAACAATCTGCTGTTGGGTGAGCTGCTGCTTCTGAGGTGGGGGGAGCAGGAGGAAGCCTGGCTTCCAAAGCCAGGGGGCCAGGGAGTGAGTTTTGTCAGGGCCCGTGAGAAGGGAAGGCAGAAGCCTGAAAGATGGATGGAGCTGCATCTGCTGTTTTGGGGCTGTTGTAGTGGAAGTGTCCCGCTCTGTACTCAAGCCATGGACATGGGGGCAGCGTCCCCCAGGAGCAGTAGCTGTGCCACAGTCTGTCAGAAGACTTGCTTGCTGCTTTGTGTTCGGATCGGATCACTGGGGTTAGTGCTGATGTCCCTGCCTGGGGACTTCCTAATCATTTGCATGCTTTTCTTTTTTTTTTGTTTTCCCTCCCCCAGAGTCCAAGCCATATTTCCTACTCCTGACCCTGCAGCACTGAAGGATCGGCGTATGGAGAATCTGGTGGCATATGCTCGGAAAGTGGAAGGGGATATGTATGAATCGGCAAACAGCAGGGTGAGATGTCATCCTCGGGCATCTAGTTGTGCGTCTCTCCCCCAACCGCATAGCGACTGGGGAGGAAGAGGAGTGAAAGCACAGATGAGAGTCCCAGGCTGAGGAAGCGTGTGTTCAGGGGCTGCTGGATGGGGTCTAGGAACCAGCCAGCTGCAGGCTTCTGCCTGGGTGTGCCGGGAGTCAGGGGGGGGTGCTCGCTGGGTTGTGTTGTGCCTGAGGCTTCTCGGGGTTCCCTGAAGGCAGCGTGAAGCTCTTCACTGTGATTCTCCCAAAGAAGCGTCGGACACGAGAAGAGAAACGTCTGGTGTTGTTCTAATGGTTGCCAGCAATGCCCTGAGCAGTGCTCTGGTTTTGCCCTCCTGTCTGTCCGGGAGCCCCTGTAAAGGGAGAGCCACCCCCACCCAAGCTGAAACGCGTGTGTGGAAGGCTGTTTCCCGAGCTTGGATCACCGTGACCTGTTGCCTTTGCTTAATGTGTGTCCGCCCTCCTTTCCTGACTTGTATTGCTCCCCAACAGGCAGAGTACTATCACTTGCTAGCGGAGAAGATCTATAAGATTCAGAAGGAGCTGGAGGAGAAACGAAGAACCAGGCTGCAGAAGCAAAACATGATCCCAAATGCTCCGGGCATGCCGCAGGCTCCCATGAATCAAGGGCCCAATATGGGACAGCCCCAGCCAGGGATGTCTGCAAGTAAGAACAGTTGGGTTACTGAATACCTGGTGCAGGGGAATCCTCTACTGTCGTGGTCACCATGGTCAGGCTGGTCACCATTTCCTTCTTTTCATTTCACAGTTACCTTTGTAAAGTGTTTACTAATTTGTAAAATTAGTCTGCTAAAAGCAGAATACTTCTTTTTTTTATTTATTTCTTCTGTTTGCTTGTTGGTTTTCCGAGCTTTTCTACCTTACTTTCCTTTTTCAAAGACAGTATCGTGAACGTATGACCAAGGGCTACAATTCATAAGCATTTTTTCTTTAAAATGGCTGCCAGTGCTGATGACAAAAATTAAACCCTTGCAATGTTTTTTGTTTTCTTACGGTGTCGGCATAGGAAGTGAGAGCAAAAGCATTACTAAAGCTCTGTGTGACTTCCCACCATGCTGAAGAATTTGGAAGCTGGCCCTGTAAAGAGAATGGCTGCCACTTGGTGCTGAAGTGAAACTAGGCCCACGGACTGCCAGGATTCTCATAAGCTCTTTGAAATGACAGAGTAGAAGACTAAAAAAGGAGGCTCTGGAGGAGCAGCGGATGAATTTATGAAGCCTGGGGACCTGGAGCATGAGCTCCCCACCCCAGAGCATGGGTGAGGGGACAGTCCCAGTAGATGAGCACAAAGAGCCAGTGTGCCAAGATTCCTAAAGGAAATTGTGGTGATAAGGGATAGAGCTGCTGCTGAAGTACAAAAAGCTTCTCCAGCTGCACAGCTTGGAGCTGAGCACCTGTGTCCTGCAGGAATAATCCCCCCATTGCATCATGGACTCCGGTGCTTTCACCTGACAGCAGCCTTTTTATAATGATCTTTCTAAAATTTTTACTTCAGATGGCATCAAAACAGAGACCAGTAAGGAAGGAGATAGAAAAAGTGAAATCTAATCTTAGGTTTGGGGTTTTGGTTTCTTGAGATTGTCAGTGCTGTTATATCCCTGAAGAAAGGAGCTGGCTTTACAAAGACGTTATGATTAATGTTACATAGCGAAGTTTTTATTATTAAAGAGAATATAAGTATTCTTTAACCAATTTGAATTTGATTCAAATTAAAATGAAATTATTTAAATACTGTTATTTATTGAAAAGGTTTGTTTAGAACTGCAATGACAAATGAACAGCCACAGGATGGGGACTGCCTTTAAACCTGTTCTGTGTCAAGGCAGAACTCATTTTTGCTTAAGCTTTCACGAAGCCTTGAGCCAGCCGGTCTGTGATGTAAGGAAGCAGTGCTGCTTGTTGCGCTCTGGGAAGGAAGTGGGGGATGTGCACCAGCAATAGCTTATAATGCATTACAGGAATGATTACTGCAGCAGAAAGATTTAATGAACCTTTAATTTTGTATCTGTGTCTTTTCTGGAAACAGCTTTGTTGTCTGTCATGCAGTGCACTGTCTGGCAGTATTTACACAATTTATTTAAATACTTTAAAAGCAATTTTCTGTTTCTTAACAGCGCTGTGGGATTGTTTTCAGAACCTGAACCTGGAGGACCCCTGATGCTACAGAAATTTGCTGATGGAGTTGCACGCAGCAGGCTTTGCAAGCTCGCTGCCACTGTCCCTCTATAATTAGGCTGTGGCCCCAGTCGCTGCCCAGGGTTCTAAGCATGGTTCACACCGATAGTGACACTCCTTTGCGTTTAGATCAACAGGCTGTAGCCTCGTGTTAGTGCCTTTGGATTGTCTGGAAGAGCAATCCATGCATATCTGTAACATAGGTAAGCCTCTGGAGCGAAGCTTCTCCATGCTGCCTTACTTTCGCCTGCAACTAAGGCCGTACTGTCTGCACATGAGAGGAACTGTGCGTGTGCCTCACGCATTACTTGTTTAGCTCCTCGCTACAAGGTCTGTACAGAGTAGGAACATTCAATACAGGTAGGGGTTTTTTTTCTTTTTTCTTTGTCAACACAATGAAGGTGATAACAAAATAAAAGGGGTAGAATGGGAAATAGAACTAACTGCAGGCAATGTACCTTTTGAGTAAGAGAGACTCAATGCCAGAGACATACAGTGAGACACTTGCTTCTTGGCTGTTCTTGACAGCGAGCTGGGGTGAGGAATGTTGCTACCAGTACCACTAAGACCACACTACTTTTCCATGGAGGAAAAAAAAGCCAAAAGGGAGAGGAGCATTCGTACTACGACAAAGCTATGCTATAAATGCATAAAAATTTTAAAACCAATTGCATAGCACAGTAAGCACTTTAAGGCCTCTTTTGTATAGGTAATACTTTCTTTGCCAAATAAAACATCTATTTTTGCCTGAGATCTCTGAGACTGATGATTTGAGGAGGTAGGGAGCAGCAGCATTAACTTGTGTGGGTTATTCCCTGGATGATTCTCGGACTCGGCGGGGCAGGGTGGGCGTGAAGGAGTGAGTTCTCCGTCCTCTGCACCCTGCTTGCCTGGCAGCCTTTACCAGCACCCACTGAGGGTTGCCCGGCCTGGGTGACATGCTGGTTACGTCAGCGGCGCGGGACAGGGACAAAGGCGTTGCTAGTGTGACATTAGGCGCTGCCATGCTGAAGGCATTCCTCCCGTCTAAAACCACAACCTTGCCATGGCTTCGAGGCATCCTCCGTTTACGTTTAGGATGCACAAGCCCAGCTGTGCATCTCCGTGGGGCTCACGTTGTTTCAGGGATGCTACGTTTGCACCCGCACGCTGATGGTTACTGGGCATCAAAGCCGTCCGTGGGGCCGAAGTTTGGGGGTTTCTTGGGTTTGGGGTTTTTTTTTTCGTTTTCTTGTTTACAGAAACTTCTGGAAGTGAGAGCGCTAATCCAGAACTATGAGAGCGGATGGACTGGGCCCGCCGGCACACCCCAGCGCCGTGCCCGGGGAGCCGGCAGCAGGGCCCGAGCTCTCCTCCGCCCCGGGCCGGGACCGCCGTGAGGCGCCATCGCCCCTCCTCACCGCCATCGCCCCTCCTCACCGCCATCGCCCCTCCTCACCGCCATCGCCTCTCCTCACCGCCGCCGTGGCGGGAAGAGAACTACAGCTCCCGTCGTGCCCCGCGGGGAGAGAGACAGAGGCGAGAACAAACTCTTCGCTGATTGGTTTTCTCTGCCCGCCTCCCGCCAATCAGGTACGCCGCTGGGGGGACAGGGGACGTGCTCCACGCGAGTGAGGCGGGCTAGCGGCGTCCTGGGAGCCATGGAGCAGGACGGGGGCGAGGTGAGCGGCGACGGGCCGGGCCGGGCCGGGGGCTCCTCCAGGGCTGGGGGCGCGGAGCCGTCCGCTCCTACAGCCGCGGAGCTGCCCGCAGGGTGCTGGGGAAAGCCTTGGGGTAGCGGGCTGGGCCGCCCGGTGCCCTGAGGGAGGACGCGAGGCCCCGGCTGGGTTAGCGGGGTAACGGCTGCCGGCGGCCGGGAGGGGACGAGGAGCGCCGGGTCGCCTCCTCCTGGCCGTGGTGGTGTTCTGTCCGCCGCGGCCCTTCGCGTTGCCGGGGGCCGGGCTGGTGCCGGAGGGGATGATGGGTCAGACCCGGGCGGGACGGGCCTCTGCGTCCCCCTCGCCCCCCTGAGGGGGTTGCGGGCGTTGCTGTCTTTGCTTGTCAGCCCTGGGAACTTGTAACGTGTCCGCGAGTTTCATTCGCGTTTGGTGGAAGAGGAACGATCCAAAGATCCTCCCTTCCTACGAGCTGAAGGAAGGTGCACCCCCAGGCAGGGGCGAGGGAGAGATGAATGTGCTTTTTTTCGGAGGAGTTCAGGCCTTTCAGACGCCAGGAATGCTGTCTGAGGATGTGGATCTGCAGGAGAGCAACTCCGTCCTCAGGGAGCCACCTGGGTACCTTGGGTCTGTTTTGTGTGAAAGTCAGGGAGGATGTGGGGAGGTGGCACTGAGCAAAGTCTCATCTTCTGTTCGTGTGTATATAATAATACCCAGGAGCCAGGGATCGGAGGGAGTTTAGCACTGGAAGGTGATGGACTTGCCACTGATCTTTTGTTGTTGCCCGCTTGGATGAACAACTGTATCCTTATGCCTGGTGTGGCTGTTCCAATCTACCTTTCTGTTCCATCACTCCCTGTGCTGATGCTGTCTTCTTGCTGCTCTTTCACGAGTTGCTAACACCTTCTCCCAGCTTCTTTTGTGCTTATTTGGAGCCCAGTTCAAGATTCTTCTGGTCTGAGGAACAATCACTGGATTTCTGTGCTCTTTCTTCAGTCGCTGCCTCTCTGCTCTCTCGCTGTTACATTACAGCAAGTACAAAGAGCTAGTGAAGACGTTTAGTTGTGGAGACATCTGGCTGTAGGCAAAAACATTTAACGAACGTTCTGTTGTCCTGCTGATGCAGCTTCTGAACTGAGGTCAGCTATGGACTATGCAGTTTCCAAAGAACATGAGGTTTTTCCAGAGTCAAGTTTGTCCTGCTGACATCTAGGCTGTACTGATCTTGTGAGCTATGGTGGCTAGAGTGTTCAGCTTTGTACTCTGCGCTGGAAGTTTGCAGTGACTTTAATGTTGATGGTGTCTGCACTGCTGTGCTGTGCAACTGTGTTGGGAGAGACAGTGCCTGGAAGGATGCAGTCTCCTGTCTTCGTCAGCATGGCAGTGTAGTTCCCTGTATTCTTTCCATGTTCTTCTAACTTTTTTCTATGTAGCTGCAGCTCTGTGGCAGTTTGTTTCCTTTTGGGAAGCAGAATGCAGCCTGTGAAATAGCTGTAAAGGGACCTGTTGCGGGGATAGTAGCTTCCCTGCTATGGATTCAGAATCCTGCCTTTGGGGTTGTTACGTGGACTCATTGCTCACCCCGAGGCCTCTCCCCAGTCTAAGAGGGCCCCCTCCGGCAATGAAGGCAGATTTATTGTGGGGTGTGGTGTAAAACCTCTATTTTAAAGCAGACTGGCTCTTTTTTCAGTTGGTGTCTACCTTCTGCCACAAAACTTCATCTTTGGAGCGGATGGAGGAGGAAGGCAATGATGACGAGGAGGATGATGAATTAGACATCTTTGGGGGTTATGACAGCTTCCGGGGCTACAACAGCAGCATGGGCAGTGACAGCAGCTCCTGTCTGGATGAGTCTAGTGACGATGAGGTGGCAGACTGGGAAGCTGGAGAGCTTCCAACCTCTCCTGTGCACCAGCCGTCCATAGGCCGGCTCACAGAGGACAGCGGCTCCGAGCCAGGTACTGCGCTGCCTGCCTGTTCTACCTAAAGGATGTGCGTGATGGAATGAACAAGGGCTGGGGGAGCGGAAGGGTGTATGACTGCACCTTGAATATGCTTTGCGAGCAGCACTGGATTGAGACTGCATTTTCTGGGCTATGTGGGGGAGCTGCTATGTGCCATGAGGGTTAGCTGGACTCAGCTCTGTCCTTGTAGTGCCTCGACCCTGCTAACTGCTCACGTTTTTGTGCCTTCCTTCTCTCAGCTGTGTGCGAGATGTGTGGGATTGTGGGCACCAGGGAAGCTTTCTTCTCCAAAACCAAACGTTTCTGCAGCGTCTCCTGCTCTAGAAGCTACTCCTCAAACTCCAAGAAGGCCAGCATCCTGGCCAGACTGCAGGTAAGTCAAACCCCTGCCTTCTTCCCTGGGGATGGAGCAGGACGTGCCTGTACACACAGGTGGGTGGTTTCTCTCTAAAGATCAGACTGCCATTACCATGGCTTGTTCTTTCTGCCTGAAGTCCCCACAGAGCACATGCCAGATGAATGGTGATGCTTCCTAGAAGCTGGGGAAGGACACAGTTATATTTTACCTGCTGTTTCTTCTTATTCCTGTGAGCGTTAGTGAAAATGCTGAAACCTGAAAATCACCCCAAAGAAGAGATGCATGTCCTGCTGGCCAATTGCAGGGCCTGGCTTCCTCTCCTCTCCTGTGTTACTGATGTTCGTAATGTTGCTTCTTTTGTAGGGGAAGCCACCAACGAAGAAAGCTAAAGTTCTGCACAAGGCAGCCTGGTCGGCCAAGATCGGGGCCTTCCTCCATTCACAGGGCACAGGGCAGCTGGCAGATGGGACACTGACAGGCCAGGACGGTGAGTGTAGTTGAGGTGTGAGGTACAGCTGCTGGAGCCACAGAAATGGGGACACCTGGAGGGCTATAAGCTCTGCAGCCCACTTCCTCATCTCTGGTACACTGCCTTGTACTGAAACAATGTGCGTGGATCGCTCCAACACAAGCTGGCAGGACGCAGGGCACATCTATCTCCCTCTCCCTGCCGGTGCTAACGGAGCCCTGGTGGGTTCCTGTCCATCCGCTATTGCAGCCTCATCCTTGTTCCTGGTGCAACTTGGGCTGAAGCATAAGCTCTCTAGTCACAGTCTTGAGAGCTACTGGCAAAGCTGACTTAAAGGTGCCCTGCTGCTCCCAGCCATTCGCTGCCCCAGTGCCTGTGGGGAGTTATTCACTGATCAACTTGAGCAGCCAGTCACTGCAGCTGAAGGAGTAGCAAGCTGCTCTGTTGGGGTAAAACTGAGCCCCAGGGGGTGGCAGTAGGGATTGATTCCTGAGCATGCTGCTGCTGGAGCAGAGCTGTAGCCTTGGATCAGAAGTGACTGGGTTGAATATCCCAGTGCTTCACTCTGATTTTCCCAGCATCCTCTGGGGAAGCAAGCACTGCTGCTATGACCCTGCAGTGTTGTTGCTGAGAGGCAAAGCTGCTAAGTGGTTTAGCGCTGAAAGGATGCAGTCTCTACTCTCTCCTGAGTGCTTGAGCCCTGGGCTGGATTTGACCCCTTTTCTTGCTCCTCCTGTCCCCCCTTTCCCAAAAGCAAGTGACAGCAAGGATTGATTAAAAATATATTGTGCCTTTTGCGGGGGCTGGTGCCTGTGTGCTTGTAGGATCTAGTTCTCCACCAGGGAAGATGCACTGGAATGCAGAGTCCCTGTGTGCTGGGGCAGAGGGCTTTGTCCCAGACCAGGCTGCAACGTGGCTGCAAACTGTAGTCTAGAGGTAACTGAGTGCTCTGTGCCTCTTCTGTAATCTCACCTGATTTTCTGCTCTCATGTCTGCTTATAGCACTCGTCCTGGGCTTTGACTGGGGAAAGTACCTGCAGGAGCATGGCTTCAAGGCAGCTCCTGTCAGCTGCTTCAAACACGTGAGTTGTTCTTCACTGTGCCTCACAGTATGCGTGGGGCCTGTCATATGCATGGGGCTCCCCTGTACTCCTATGAGAAGTGGTGGGGAGAGGCCTGAGGAACTGGTTATTGAGCCTCAGCTGATGCCAGGAAAGAAGTTG